TTTCACTCTTTTATTTGGTTTTATAAAGCACACTGTTCTGTTTGTTTTAGTATGTTCATTTGAGAATTTTCTTCGGACTTTTTCACCTAAAATACGAGGGAAAACATAGACGTTACACATTTGTTATAAGATGTGAAAACTATATGATGGGCTTATCTAAATCTAATCTAATCTAAATCTAAATTTAATCTAAACTACATATATAAGGAGATTTTCCTCCATTTCCTATCTCATTCCCTTTTCTCTAATTGCTGCGCAAAGTACGAAAGGAAGTCTTGGTAATTTACTTTCAAATTTCAGGCGGCTTCTTGGACACCATAAACGGGACACTTGCCCTGGAAGTAATGGGCTTTCTACAACAACAAAAAAAAAATAATGGGCCCATTGTATCTCAAACATGTAACTGGGCTACTCGCCGCATTCTTGCTTCTAGGGGTGGAATTCGGTCGGTAAACGGTAAATTGTTTACTGAATTTACCGGTTTCAGTATGCCGAAGTTGGTCAAATTGGTTACCGATTACCGATACTGGTTTGTGACCGGTTTACCGATTACCGAATTACGGTTACAAACCGGTATTACCGAAATACCTTGAGAAGCGATTTCGGGCGGTTTTTCGGTCGGTTTACCAAACCGAATTTCTGGAAGTGGGGTGATGTTGTAATATTTTGATTTTTTTTTAGTTTTTTTCATCATTTTTATAATTAATAATTTATTATTAACTCTTATTTACAATATTTTTTAGGCCTATACTTACTTACATTCATGTATGTAATATTTTATATTTGTGAATAATGATGTATATGTTAGTGGAGTAGGGAGGGGGGATTTCGGTATCAGTATTACCGATTTACCGTCGGTATTTACCGATACCGTGTCCGGTAAACCGACTCCCCCAACTTCCCGCTCGGCTGGCGATACCGCCGGTAAACGATTTACCGTTTACCGCCGGTTACCGGTTCGATAAAACGGTAAACCGTTTACCGGATTATCGTTTACCACCCCTACTTGCTTCCCCTTACCACATAGTTTTGTATTATGGCCTATGGGCTGGAATAATCATTCAGGTAAGTATTGAAGTTAATGAAATTAGTTAAGGTTAATATATTAGCAAGACAATGTCTATTTATTCCAGGTTTATACAAAATATTACAATTATTCTAGGAAACTGAATTGTACACTAAATGATCATTTCAAAATGAGAATCATCGATGATGTTTCACGTTCCTTGAATTCGAATAAAAAAAATTATCGAGTGATCAAGGAATTGTTTACTTTATGGATTTTAAATTTATAGTTTAAAGCTATAAATCCATAACTATAATATCCATGAGCAAATCTAACAAACTAACAACAAAACTATTATTATTTTTAAATCCATCACAAATTTATAATTTTGAAAACTCCAGATTTTAATCAAAACCCTCATTTTTAAATCCAACAAACAAACAACCAACCCCTAAGTCAATGGTCAATAGCATTTGGTTAATAGTTAGTCCAAATTTTGAGAATCATCGGTTAACGTCTGTTGTATAAAATAATAAATTTGAGCATCATAGTTCACTAGAAAGTGTCGTAGGCTATGATCAATCTCTATTTGAAGCGTAAAAATAAATTTTCTGATGATATGACCTTCATTGACAACTCTTATCGGTTTATAATCACTCCAGTATATTATGACTATTTGACATCATGAAATTGTTGTTTTCCCTCTTACATTTTCACAGATTGATTCACATAAGTCAAAGTTAAGAGGAATTGATTGACAAAATCAGTATGAAGAAAATGTGTAATTTATATAAGAAAAGAGAATCACAAATTAAAGAGGTCCAACTAAAGTTTTATGAGTTTACGATTCTTGAACTTACATTTTAAAATTTCCTGTAATATTTGAATTTTTAATTCGGGCCCAATATACAATTCGTGTACAAGGAAATAGTTGCGAATGTTCCTTCATACTAAAAATAATAAGTGTCATTCTCGCAAATATTGATGTCGGCTTCTTATTATAGATTTTTTCTTCTGATGAACCTTCAAGTTTCGAAAGTAATTGACTTTGAATCAAGAATAAATCCATGACATAAAATTTATTTATTTTTTGCGTGTTTTAAGTTAGGAGTTTCAGAAAATCAAATTTTGATTTCACAAGTACTGCTTTTTTATAAAATTTATGGTATGTATCACATCCTCCAGGGAGAGTCAAAATGAAACTCAATCCCCGCCAAAATATTACAAGAACTCGACGAATTGACAATAAAGAATAAAGAGGAGGTAAACATCAATTTATATCTAGCAACTCATTAATTTTAAAATGCTAACTCATTCTCTAATATTTATAACAATTTGTATTTTTTCAAATACAAAGTTATCAAAGTTGCGAATTGGTAGCTCTATGCTCGATGCCAAACCTATTACCAAAAGTGGAAAAGACTCCCACCAGTAATATTTGTTTTCATTGAAATGCGGGACAAGAAGAAAGAGTCTGTTAATATTTTTTTTTAAGGAAGAGTCTATAATGTTGAAGATAGTAGATTTGATAATGGACATAATGACATTGTTGACAAGAAGGAAGATAATATTGATGGTGAAGATCTTTGTTTTTGTTTGGATTTATATAATTTTTTAAGTAGGAGTCGGCTCTCTCACATGGGTTTAATTTTTTGTTTCATTTTTAGTATTAGTGAATATTGAACAACTCTATAATAATATATTCATTTAGTATTTCGTAACTTGTTATGAACCATTACTATTTTTGTTTATGATATCGACGCAATGCATCTTGCTATCCACCCCAATAATAGGTGTTGTATAAAAAAAAGTAAAAATCATATCCGCCTAACGGGCGGGCTCTAATCTAGTTCGACATATATAGTCATTCTTTGTCTGAGGTCATCTCCAACGAACAATCTAAGAAGACAAATGAATCATCAAGTCCATCCCTAGGTTAGGATCTATGACTTTTTGAGCATGTACCTACTCTTTGTGCTCATAAAAAACGATCTACAAATTCAAATGTTCACTTCAAAAAATAGAAGTTTAGAGACTAATATAAGGACATTTGTTATGGCAAAGTTATTTACGACCTCAATAGGTAAATAGTGGTGCATAAACGTGCCTCACTAATACAGTTATTGCTAATCTCTTTAGCGAAAGATGTTAAAGGTAGATACTATTAGCTGCTAACAAAGGAATTTGCAGCTCCTTATGTAGATCATATATTCATCTTTTCATCGTACTTTTCGATATGCATGTGTAGTAATAAGGAATATGCGATGTGAGTATATTTTTCTCAACTAATTATCTGCTAATCTACGTGCTTATTCTGATTCTTACGTTGCTAGTTGTATTGATACTCGACGATAAACTATAAGGTAAAGTGTTCAGTTTGGAGGTTTATTTCTTGAAGATGTAAAAAGCAAGACAAGAAATCCAAGTCCTCTATTAAGGCTGGATGTCGGACAATGTTTGACATGATGTATGAACTGGTCATGTTGCATCGCATGCACTGATTGATTTGGGTATGGCTTGTCTGATCCCAATAGATCTCTTTGTGGACAACACTAGTAATATTCACATTGTCGTTAATCTTGTGTTGCTTGAACGTTCCAAGCACATGAAATTCATGTCCACTATGTTTGCGATTGGGTCAACGATGGTACTGTTACTCACAATGTTTGGTCAGAGGACCACATTGTTGAACTTCTTACTCAAACATTCTCTACGAAACGTTACTGACATTTTTTGAAAAATTAATGTTTAATGACCTCAAGAGGAGGTTGTTAGATCATATATTAAGTATAAATTTGTATATAGTCCATAAATAGTTGCTTAGCCAAAAAGCCCACAAATATGTGATTAGTCTATGAAGCCCATGGACGATCCAATTCATAATTTCATATGGGCATGGTTCCAGTGGTATATGTTGATACTTTGTATGTTGCTACAGAACTCAACGAAAACCATAGTTAAAGGCCGTAGTTTAAAGGATTCTAATTCTTTCGTGTATTAATCTTCACATTTTAAGAATATCACGTATTGGATTGTTATATTGTCAGTTCATTTCAATTGTGCTTGCTTGTTCAAATTTTTTGTTGGCGTGAAATATTTGGTGAAACTTTATTAATTTGTCTCTTAATCAACTGTTAATACATAACTACAGTAGGAAAGAAAAATATTAACAATCGGACTGGAGAAAGGATAATGAAATTGGCAAACATGCAAAACAAAAGGCACTCGACTACTATATGAAGGCTTAATGATTTGGGCACCCCCAAATCCGTTTATTCTTTACTTCTTCCCTTTCTTCTCCATAGCCAGCTCAATTTTGTTTTTCCTAAAATGATATCTGATATGGGCAATATACTAAAGCCACTTTGTGTTACAAAGCAGCCACACAGAATGATACCCATCACAGTCCACAAAGCAAAAGCAAGGAACCAAAACCAAAGGTTTATCTTGACAATGACTCTTCTCCTTCGCAAAACTCCAATCCAGGACAAACCAATTCGGTCCAACCCAAATTTGTTAAACCGAGCCAACCCTCCCACGTATTCTCCAATTCAACATTTAGTAAGATCTCACGAAAATTTAGTTCAATTTTCACTCTCGCAGTACAATATATGGATTAACTCAACTCTTATTCCACCTCATAACCTTTTGAATCTCCATTAGCGTCAATCATGATTTGATTCGTTAAACAAAATACGCTTTAAACTAATTCTAAAAATCTCTTTTCTCCATCCAGACAAACTCTACAAGTCTTCCGATCCAATCCCCAAACCGAACCACTACCCACACGGTGTGGCCATTCACCCTACCGATAAATCATTTGATCCTACCAAACCTTACATGACAAAAAAAAAAAAATTGACCTGACTACTAAACTAACCCTGATGACAAACTGATAATCCGACTCTCGAAATTTAGTCTATTGGGTCAGACCAGCTCAGTGGGTATCTCTCTAGAGCCAGGCATACAACTCTACCCACACCCTCTTCCTTATATGTTAACTCTTCCATCTCACAACCCCAAAAACACCTTCCACCCAAACCAAAAAAAAAAAAACATGGGACTTTGTTTCACAAGAAGCAAGTCTCATGACATCCCAATCTCCTCTTCCTCTTCCCCCTCCCCCTCCCCTCCTCCCACCATCAAATCAAAACCCCCAAAATACCCCTCTTCATCATCTCAATTCCCCCAACCCATCCCCAAACCACCCTCTTCCTCCTCCTTCCCACAACCCCAAATCGGCCCCATCCTCAACAAGCCATACGCCGACGTTTCGACCCTCTACGACATCGGCCGTGAGCTCGGCCGCGGCCAGTTCGGCATCACCTACCTCTGCACCGAGAAATCCACCGGCCGGAACTTCGCCTGCAAGTCCATCTCCCGCCGGAAGCTGGTCAACAAGAAGGACATCGAGGACGTCCGGAGGGAGATTCTCATCCTCCAGCACCTCACCGGCCAGCCCAACATCGTCGAGTTCAAGGGAGCGTACGAGGACAGGCAGGATGTGCATTTGGTCATGGAGCTCTGCTCCGGCGGCGAGCTTTTTGACCGGATTATTGCCAAGGGGAGCTACTCGGAGAAGGAGGCGGCGAGGGTGATTCGGCAGATTGTGAACGTGGTCCACGTGTGTCATTTCATGGGTGTGATGCATCGGGATTTGAAGCCGGAGAATTTCTTGCTGGCGAGCCGGGAGGACGATGCGCCCATCAAGGCTACCGATTTTGGGCTCTCGGTTTTCATTGAAGAAGGTCGGTTTTCTGAGCTCTATTTTTTTTAACTACTGAATGTCTGAATTTACAATCACATGCACGTGAGAAGGATGTCATTCGCGATTTATTCGTGACTTTTTTTTTATAATGCTTATGGTTAGTACTTTTGTGCCGTGTTAGATTCGTATTAACTCGTTATAAGTTGAATTAGAAATGTTTGCTCGTCAACTCGATGCTATCGATTCACCTCAATTCATGTTAGTTGTGAAAAGGGATTGATTAGGAGACAAAACATCTGCAAAAGGGATGAAGTTTATAATAACTAAAAGAAATGTCTCTCTATGAGGTTGATTTTCATTTGCTTGTACACTACGGGTGGTTGAAAGAGACATGGGGCAACTTAATTCTCACGTTGGCATGATGGGTCAGCTGCAGCAAAGTCAAGTGAGAGGCGACCAGGTCAACCAAGTCAACCATTTTTGGACAGGATAAGCAAAGTTTTCTAGAAGTAGGGCTTTGTAGGTTTTTCTTCTTCTTTGTTTCCACACGATGTGATAGTGATTGGTTAATAATGCAACATTGCATAGAGAGTGTGAAAAAGGAGAATGGTATTGGTTGGTAGTGACCAGAGTTCCTAAATTTTTCGGTTTCACGGATAATCAAATAGCGAATTGAGAGAAATTATCGTTGTATAAATAGAGTGAAAAAGAAGAATGGTTGGTAGTGACAATGACTCCTGAAACAATTCTCATTTTCTTAGATAACTAAAAACCGAATTGACAGAAATCACTTATGTTACATAGATGATGCGAAAAAGCAGAACGGTTGATAGCGACTAGGGCTTCTGAAGCAATTTTCTTTTTTCTCGGTTAATCAAATACCGAACCGAGAGAAATCACTTATGCTGCAGAGACGATGTGAAAAAAAAAGAGAACGATTATTAGTGACTAAGGCTCCTGTAGCAATTTTTGTTTTTCTCAGTTAACCTAATACCAAACCGGTTAAAAGTCTTCAAATAATTATTTTGTTTTCATCATAAACTGAAAATACGGCCTATGATACCTGATACTTACTCACTTACGCATAAAATAAGATCTGTTTTGATTTATGTAATATCTCGTGTTATTTTATCGGTTCGTGATTTCGGGATAAGTAAGTGGATTGATATTCGGATTCTTTGCTTTGTATGCAGGAAAAGTATACAAAGAACTTGTTGGCAGTGCATATTATGTGGCTCCAGAAGTGTTGAGAAGAAGTTACGGAAAAGAAATAGACGTGTGGAGTGCTGGAGTTATCTTGTACATACTTCTAAGCGGGTTTCCTCCATTTTGGGCTGGTAAGGCTGCTCAATTTTGATTCTCCCTCTTTTAGTTGGACTTGGACACAAGAATAAAATATTAAATTTCTCAAAAATAAATTGTGTAACAAAATTGGTAGAAATTTTACTGTTTGTTTGGACTTAGAATGTTAGTTAAATAACTTGGAATTTGAGTTAAAAATAAACAAATTTCATCATATAGTACCGATAAAAAAGTTTCACTATATAGTAAGGGGTCGTTTGGAGAATACGAGTTTAAATCTATAGATTGTCAACAATCTATACAGGTTGAAAATATAGAATCTCTCTGATTATTAGAGATTTGATATCCGTAGATTTTAGAGATTTTAAATCTCTAAAGCTAAAATCCACAATCCAACTAAAATGAAACTAAAATATGACAATAATCTGTACGCATTGTTCTTGTTGTGTTCATAGAGACCGAGAAAGGGATATTCGACGCAATCCTGGAGACGAATCTGGACTTGCAGAGCACACCATGGCCCAAGATTTCGGATTCAGCCAAGGACCTCATCAGTAAAATGCTGGCAAGAGACCCTAGGAAACGGATTACTGCGTCCCAAGCACTTGGTAATTAAGTACTTTTGCAGTTTGTTGCTATATCTTAGCTCTTTAAGTAGACAGAATTTTTTTAGGAAGCTATTTTCCAAAAGGATTGAGCTTGATGATTATTTGTGATTTGAAACAGAGCATCCATGGTTGAAAGTGGGTGGGGATGCTTCTGATAAGCCAATTGACAGTGCTGTTTTGTCAAGGATGAAGCAGCTTAGAGCCATGAACAAGATGAAGAAGCTTGCTCTGAAGGTATATGCTTTGTTTTTTGTTTTGTTTTTTTGGATTAAGCCCCTTTTTATCCAAAACTAAAACTGCACAACAATTCAGTATATGAAGGATAGAATGTGATCAAATTGATAGACGATAGTTAGGTTTGACCACGATTGTGACAGAACTATGGATCTAGGTGTGTGATTTAAGGATTGCAATGGATTAGAGATTGGGGATTTAGGTGATAAAGAATTGGGAATTGGATGAGAGAGAAGGCAGAGTCGGGTTCCCGGGGAGGGAAGGCGCCGACGGTGGTGAGGAGAGGGAGAGGGTTCGGTCAAGGTGAGATAGAGAGAGAGAGAGTTTGGGAACAATTCTGTATTATTGCTTGCCCTTGACCTAACATAACATGATATATATATATATAATCCGACTATTTCCCGTTTGCTACCCGAATAATTAATCTAACCGAATAATTCCCGCCCTAACACAATATCCGAATAATACGCAAATAACAAATAAACCCTAATAATTATGTTTCTCACAGATTGCACACATGCATATAGTCCGATTCCATTTCGATTCTCGCATTTAAATTTGTGTTGGGGAATATGTATTGATTTTTTTTTTATGTATTGATTTGATTCATTGGAAACAAAAGAAATAGAATTAGATTCTATGTAATTTCAATTTCAATCTCGATTTCAAATCATCCAAAATCGTATTTTACATTTCTACGTAGTCATGACAGTTTAAACAAACAACAACCTTTCTTCTGCAACCGAGAGGTCTCGAATTCAAACCACGATAATTTCCAGTACTAATGATTGTTTGGAGCTCATTGTGTGATACTTGAAGGTAATAGCAGAGAACCTTTCCGAGGAAGAAATCAAGGGCTTGAAACAGATGTTCAAGAACATGGACACAGACGGAAGTGGAACCATCACTTACGACGAGCTCAAAGCTGGGTTGACGAGGCTAGGATCCAAGCTCTCTGAAGCTGAAATGAAGCAGCTAATGGATGCTGTAAGTTCAACAGAATTAAACTCAGTAACTTTATATAGCTTGTGCTTCTTAAGTAAAAATTATTTACCGTTCTATCTCTTTCAGGCCGACGTGGACAAGAATGGGACGATCGACTACGTCGAGTTCATAACGGCAACAATGCATCGGCAGAGGCTGGAGAAGGAAGAGCACTTGTTCGAAGCCTTCCAGTACTTTGACAAGGATGGAAGTGGGTAAGTGAATTTGTTAAAACTTTATAGTTCGAGGGCTAAATTGTTAGTGGCGCCAAAGTTCTGTGACCGTTTATGTAATTAACCTAATGAACTTGTTCTTGTGGTGTTTGGTTTATTGGTGGGAATTTCCAGGTTTATCACAAGAGATGAGCTTAGACATGCCATGTCACAATATGGTATGGGTGATGAAGATACCATCAATGAGATCTTAGATGATGTTGATATCGATAAGGTAATAGCATCTTTACGAAGTCAGTAAAGTTATTTTGCTATAAATTAACGATTATGTCTGCGTTTTATTAAAAATTGTTTGCAATATACACCGACAAGTATGAATGATAAAAATCACATTATTGATTTTATGATATATTATGTGGTTTTTGTTAGGATGGGAAGATCAACTATGAGGAATTTGTAGCCATGATGAGAAAAGGAAATGCAGGATCTTAGAGATAAAGTTTGGATGAAGATGCACAAGTTATTTTATGTTTATTAACATTTATATGAAGGTGAAATTGAAGTCTTGTTCTTTCCCCAATAATTTGACTTCTGAACTAAAATGAAAAGATGTCTTCAGTAATGAGAAAATGTATATAAGTGCATAATATGGTCACATATTTCATTACGGTTAGCATATGTAAATTTGGTTCGAGTGCCATTGTTCAATACATCTTAAGGTTTTAATGCATAGGGTTGGTAGTGTGTAGGGTTTTGTTGAACCCATCATCATTCCTGTTTACAATTTCTAAACTCACGCTCTCCCATTTTTTTGTGATTGTAATTCTTTTTTATCATCCATCTCACATTTTCCAGATACTCATGAATAATTCATACCCATACGTTACACGCAAATCCAGTTTAAAATTAATGTAATTAAGTTAAAAATATGTATAATTTTAAAGCTCGAACATTGAATATAGATCATATGTCATAAACTAACCACAAAATGTATGCTAAACATAACAAAGTGTAAACTGTTAGGAAAATTAGGTTTAAGAAGTTATGTATATGTCTTTTCTTTTTTATGGGGAACTGTAGTTGTATATGTCTTCATTGAATCACAAACGTGAATTTAAGGAGTTTAGAATTGTATTATATTTTGGTATTTTGATAGAGAATGAATGACAGATGAATCTATTAACTTGTAATTGAAGGACCAAATAGACCGCTAACTAACATTCTAGTTGTTATTAGGGTAACAACTTGTAATGGCGCCATCTGCCCATTCCAGATTTCCAGTTCAGTAGATTTATCTTTTTCCGCTAAAGTGGGACACAGGCGATACCATTTCCTCTGTTCCTCATTTCGGCATTCACAGTGGAAAGAAAACAACGATGCTCGTCTCGCCGCGCTCTGTTGTTCCTCCGCAATCCTCGCCGTTTTTCTCTTCCTCCTCCTTCAATCGGAACCCTAGGCGATTTCGTCCGGAGTTCCTCGTCAGATTCCTCTCAGCTCGTTGCTGCTCGACTTCCGCCTCCTCCCCCGGCGAGAACGCGACTCCGCGGAGCAATTACGCCGGCACGAGATTGGACGAGACCGTCGAGACCGGTTCCGGAAAGCTCCGGCTCGATTCCTGGATCTCTACTCGGATTTCCGGAATCAGTAGAGCTCGCGTCCAGTCCAGTATCAAGACCGGTCTCGTCAGCGTCAATGGCAAGGTCGTCGATAAGGTTCGATTTCTCGCTCGTTTCGAAATATTCGAATTCGTATCCTCGAGCTTCAGAATCCGCTTCTGGAGTTCGCTTCGATTTGAGTTTTGTTCATGAGAATTAGTCTCTCCGATATGATTTGAGCAGGCTTCGTATAGCGTTAGAGGCGGAGATGAGATCCGCTGCACAATCTCGGAGCTCCAGCCGCTGAGAGCTCAGCCGGAGAACATACCGTTGGATATAGTTTACGAAGACGAACACGTTCTCGTTGTTAATAAACCTGCAGATATGGTAACTACTTCTGACTTCAGCTAGAAATTTCCTCAAGGAATCTCGTTTTCTTGGCTTCAAAATTTCCTGAGCAGAAATTATGCTGTTTCGCACTGTTCGATTCACCAGGTCGTTCATCCAGCGCCTGGAAATCCGACGGGAACGCTCGTGAACGGGATTCTTCACCACTGCAGTCTTCCAGGACTCGCGTCTTCAAGTCAGGACATTATCACAGATCTAGAGGATCTTTCCGATGATGAAGATCTAGCTTCTAGCTCGAATGCCGCGTCGATTCGGCCTGGAATTGTGCATAGATTGGACAAAGGCACCAGTGGATTACTTGTAGTTGCTAAGGTGAGTTTCCTGTCCTGGCTGTAGGTTTAGGGGAATAGCCGTAATGTTTTCTTCTAAACTGCTGGAATTTTTTCTTGTCAATGCTAGGACGAACATTCACATGCTCACTTGTCTGAACAATTCAAGCTACGTACCATCAGAAGAGTGTACTTGAGTCTTACTGCTGGTGTCCCTTCACCGGTATCTGGGCGAGTAGAAGTTCCAATTGGCCGTGATGTCCATAACAGAATTCGCATGGCTGCTATCACTGGACCAATGGCCAGAGGGAAGGCCCGTCATGCTGCTAGTAGGTGATTGGTTTCTCTAATCCTGCCTTTCATTTGATGATGATATTGTCATTAAACTGGTTCTGTTAATCTCTAGGTAATAGTGCCATTATGATTATAGTGTAACTTTCGGCTGCTCGCTGAGTTTGCATGCCTCAAACAGTTTCTAGGGAACAATGTGAATGTCTCTCTGGTTCGGTTTGATGTCTGAAAAAAGCGATTAACCTAGGTTGTTCATAGGATCCTTGTTTCCTGGCCCTTTTAAGAACCTTGGCATTTTTGTGCAATCGACTTCATCAATCAGTTGACAAAGTGAAAATCCCTAGATCAACATATAGATATTAGGCTCGCTGCATCCCGTATTGTTGTCCCACTCAATAGGAGTTCTCACTTCTGCTTGGGGTTTGATCATGGGGCTGCTGCAATTTCTGCAGCAGAAGTGCTGAGCTTGTTTTTTGCCGCCATGAATTGCCTTGTTTCACAATTTTTAGCTCCCCTTCCTTGTTTCCCTTGTCTCCGTTCCTTGCTCTTGTCTTGTCTCTATTTCTAGCTGCAACTTATCTCTCTTTCTATCTGGACACTCTGCTGGTGTATGCTTGCTTTTTACTAATGTTTTCTTATATAAAATAGACGTTTATTGCTAGTAGATACTAATACTGTGCAACTTATAAGTTGCTTACTGGTACTTTTACACGAAATAGTTTCTATGAACAATGTCTTCTTGACAGGTTTTATGTCAAAGCGAAAATATTAACCAATTTGAGGACCCTGCTGGCTTATTCAGTTTGTATGTATCTTGCGTCTGGTCTTTCTGCATAGAATAATAGAGCACGTCCATCGTTATTAAAACAAAGATCTCTAGATAAGCATATAGATGTCTGTAACAAGTGACCCTTACTCCGAATTATTGATGTACTGTAGTGATTCTTCCTTTCGTGTGCTTAACAATTGATTCATACGGCCAACTCAATGTTTATGAAGTTTGTTGAATATTGATCAGGTATAAGGTGATTGAAACTCTTGCTGGTGGTGGTTCAGCTTTAGTTGAGTGGAAACTAGAAACTGGGCGTACTCACCAGGTACTCAACATCTTAATTCATTCACTTTATTACCTTCAATGACTTGTGTCCTGCAACTTGATGATAAATCTTCCATGTAATCCATCTTTCTCACTTTCTCTTTTCTCGTGGAAGATTCGTGCACATGCCAAATATATCGGATGCCCATTGCTAGGTGACGAAGTCTATGGAGCGACCAGAAGCATGGCTCTGTCGCTGCTTCAACCCAAACTATCTCCAAGCCACCATGGTCGACTTCTAGAGTTGCTTTCGGAGTTAGATAGGCCTTGCCTGCATGCTTTCTCCCTTGGGTAAGACCATTGAAACGTATCGTTGTGTGGCATGCATCATTTGATTCGCCTACACAAACACCACAGACCGAGCAGGCAGTAATGATGTCGGCCATTTGTTTTTGTAGGTTTAAGCATCCACGTACAGGGAAAGAAATACATTTCTCATGCCCTCCTCCCCCTGATTTCGAGAAGATGCTAATCCAGCTCCGTAAAATGAGCACAGAGACGGTACTTCTGTCTATATTCCTCCCTGCTGCTTAATTGCTTAACTTACAATCCTTAATAATATCCACAGAAGGGATTGCAACTATAGAAATGTTTTTAGCATCTGATGATCTGTTGTTAGATATGCCAGCCTCTTCGGTATTGGCTACTGAGATAGAAGAAAGGAGCTAATCCTTTGCATATGAATAACTGTTGTGCAGAAAAAGGTGATGACTGCATCATGAGGTTCAGACATTATGCCAGAGCTAGTGGGGCAAAATCAATCAATACCAGGTCATTGAACACGTTTCAGAGTCATCGACATGGAACTGCTAGAGTACCTTCTATGAGGTCGGCCTCTACAGAGGTAAGAGCGATATAGCTTTCTCTTGTCACTTGGCTTTATTCGTTTAATTTGTTTTCATCAAAATCGTTATCACAATCACCAGGTTTTAAAATTGAAACATATGCACCCGTGGAAACAGAAGAAAAGGAATTGCTCTAAGTCTTTATTCCTTAGTTTGATAGATAGAGTGATATAGAGGGTCTAAAAGATGAACGGAAAAATAAGCTGTCTGCTTAATCCCTCCTCTTCCCTCTTCACTTCATATGAAACTATGCTGCCTCATGTTCAGAAAGGTGGACGGAATTAATTAATTTTTTATTATTTTTTTATGGGCAATATAATTTTTTTTATTAAGAATAGAAAGATTCCAGAGGTTGAGCCTTTTTTTTTTATCGTCTCCCCTCCAACACACATTCTAACCTTTGAATCTCTTGGTTGCTTGTTGTAGCGGCATGATGTTTTGCGCGATGTGCCTTTCTTCCGTGAGATTCTTTACTGATGTCGCCAGCAAGTCACCAGAGTATACAAAGTCCTTGCGTTGCCTACCTTTCCCTCAGGGCTGCTGATTAGTGCCCTTTTTGGTTGCAATCTTCATTTCACCCTGACGATTAATCGGAACTGTTGAACCAAGATTTTGGTAAAGCGCCGAAATCATTACTACTGGAATTTTCCAATTAACAAGAAAGCGCCGAAACCAGTTCCCTCAGGCGTCACAAGACAATGAGTTGGTAACGATCCAGGGTGTATATGTATTTTGATCACGGGCGAAGTTTTCCGTTTGTTGCTGTACAGTAAGATGGTGTAAGCGAGCTAGCAACATTGGATCCCTAATACATATTAATAAACAACAATTAGTATACAACATTTTCTCAACATCTAACAACACCCACAAACCCCTGGTCGGGCGGAACCAAAAAGATAAATAAGATTATTCAAAATGGAGCAAAAACTCTGTATGGTAGCTCTTCTCTGAATGAAGCGGTCTACAATCTACACCAACCTCTGCAGCTGAAAGAAATTAGATCAGTCATACTTTTGTTAGAGGAACTGTCACAAACTGCTGATTGTGTGTCAAACTGTCACGTATTGTCATTACCAAAAAAAAAAAAAAAATAATAGCGCGATGAAAAGGAAATCTGCAAATGTAATTAGAAGCTCAGAAATCCGCTCATTTCGGGATTAATAACCAGGAAATGTGTTGTTAAAGAGATTTGGAGTATTCTTCACGGGTAATAGCTAATGACATTACTCTCTAGCCAAATCGGCTGCTAGAATTTAAGGCGTGGTTTGGATGAATGAATTGGAAGATGAAATTTTCTACCAACAAAAGAAAGATGAAATTGTGTTTCAAATTCAAGAGCGAAGGAAATCAACAGATTCCACTATTTGTTTCAAAAGTGAACACAAAATGATGGAATTCCCAATTTTCTAAGAGCGGCAAGTGAACGTTGAGCTTGCTTCAAACTAGAGAGAAACGTTCCACTAAGAAAAAAGCAGTTACCTTTTATCTGGCTTTGTATTCTCCAAGGTGCATCCATTTTGTAGCTGACCATTTGTTCCCTATAATCACTGGGCAACTACCTGGAAAGGAAGAAACGAAATGCAATTCAGAAAACCACGGGAGGAATCAAATTCTTTTCAACTAGCCCCTGATAAAAAAGATGGATACAACTAAGGACTTGATTTCGTTTTTCTTCCAACAGCTTTGCGAACCAATGAATCAAAATACCATGTAAACTGGAAGGATCTAATGAGGCATCGGGCCTTGTACTCCAAAAGAACAAGGCATTCCCCCTCTTCGGTTTCAGGGAAAGACCCTTTTTACCACATTCAGACAATTCATCCCACCATGGCACCGAACTGGAATTTGCCTTGGCACTAGGAAAGATAGTCTCGCCTCCTTCTTCGACGTCTGACCTGGATCGGAAGGGCCAGAGAACCGTGAATACGAATTCACTATCACGTTTGGAATGTAGATAAGTGTGTCAAACAGAGCAATGAAACATGGGACCCGAAGGAAGGATCAACACTCACAGATACATTAGCAGAGTAGCAGTACGCTGGCCTCCATTCTTGGTGTTGAACTCATCAAGGAAATAATCAAAGTGAGGCTCATACTTCTGACCGATCTCGTAGTGGAGGATTTGGAGGCCTTCACCATTTTCTGCAATATATCATGGCATGGAACTCATTCAATGACTGTAGCGCCTCACAATAGCAGAGAAATGGGATATGGTTTATGAAGAGGACAACATTGGTATGGGAAACATAGAGCTGAGTAGGCTTTCAATTATATCATCATTTATGACAGGAAGTCTAGTGTAAAATGAACTAAGATTCAATGAAGTTCTTAACCATTGTCTGAATATAATGGAACTATTTCAATGAAGCAAAAAGGTGCACAATCTAGGGGACACTGGAAATTATTCAGGATGTAGGAGTTAGTGATATTGGAAAAAATAGAGATGATGATTGTTTAGAGTTAGACCCATGACCTTTCATTATAGGAAGCCCTAATTTTATGAATCCTCTCTAATACTTAAGACGCGTCGTACCTGCAGGAATAAAAGTGAACTCTGAGATCCTCTTCTCTATAGCCCTAATGATTTTATCCTGTCCTCTGCTGAGAAACATCCCTGAGCTTGTGCGAACCCTGCAAGAAAAAATAGTTTTTCCAAGTGTGAACGTAACTAACTATTTAACTGCATCTCAAGAAGAAGGCACAAAATAAGCGGTATTCCAAACATTCCCTAGATCTGCCTAATGGTATTCAGGACATATAGATAACAGCACCTGCTATCTTTACTCTTTCCCGTTTTGCTGTCCACCACGGTTGATTTTGTCATGCGAGGCTTAGCTAGAGAGATTAGATACTCACATTCTTCTTTGGACTGTCGAAGTTGGAATCCAGTATTAAAAATCACTATTACTGGAAGTAATGAACATAGAACCAGGCAATGCGACTGAACAGCATAGAAGAACTCCACACAAGGGCAAAGCAAGTGTCTAATCAATTGAACTTTCCTCAATCTACATTAATCTAAAGAAAGGGAAGCACCAATCTATAAGTCCACTAGAAACTGAAAAAAAAAAGGAAGCCGAAATAAGCAAAGATGAGATTGAATCAACTGCAGCTCAAAACTACAAGCAGAACATTCTTCCTCTTTGTAAATCTTATATTTGTAAAACTCGATCTATGCACAAAGGCTGAAGCCAGAAGATCATACTGGAACAAGCAGCTTGAAGTTAGAAAGAAAGAAAAAACTTTAGGATTTTTTCTTCTATAAAATCTCATACTAGCAAACTCAAATATATGAAATAAATGCTGAACCGAGAAGATGGATCCATGTCTCAGCCAACCAAATGCATTTCTCTAATCAATTGAACATCCTCAATATAGGTTACTCTCAAGAAAGGAGGCACAAGCATCCCAGCTATAATTCCCTTTGTAACTACCAAAATTCCAGAAATAAGATGTATATCAAAATCTAAATCAGCTCCAACTCAACATTACAACAGTCCAATACGATTCTTCCTCTATGGAATCTCATACTAGCAAAGCTCAGTCTATGAAACGAATAGCTGAAACCATTAGAAACCTAACAGCGCATCAGCAGTAGCTTGAAATTACAAAACCGCAAGAGAACTCTTCCTCTATGGAATCTCAAGCTAGCAAAATCAAATCTATGAAAACGAATACTGAAACTAGAAAATGGATCCATCGGCTCAGCTAGACAGATGCATTTTCCAATGAATGGAATTTTCTCCACCTACGTTACTCCAAAGCAAAAGCGCATAGAAGCTACAGGGAAATCGCAGTAGTTAGAGGATTACGCTTGAATCAGCTAACAGCTCAAACTAACCAGAACTCAAGAATCCTATTACTAAGGAACTCTCACACTAGCGAGCGAACTCGTTCTGTGAATCGAAAGCTGAGCCGTAAGAAAGCTAGATTTGAATCAGCTGTAGCTCAAAGGAATCTCATACTAGCAAACTCAATGAACCACACGAATGCTGAAGCTACTGACTCGGACAATGAACTGACCAAGAAATTGTGATACACGAAGGCTCTAGGCTCCCAAGAAACGATCTCAGTCCACTGCTCGCCTCGCTTACCTAGCCCGTCGCCATCTCTGCACCAACGCAAAACCGTTTCAAATAAAAAAATTCAGCACATCGAATCGAAACCTAGTCAACTGAAACTCGAGCAATCACAGACCAGCGCCGCCGCGCTCTCTCTCGCTCTCGCTTACCGTTCGGCGGCCATGCGGCGGTAGGAAGCAGGCAGATCCTTAGGAGTCGAATCGTCGGTGCTCACAGGGAGCGAGAAGATTCCCAAGCCTAGGAGAATCAGGAGAACGAACGAGAGCATAAAGAGCATGGAGAAAACCAGCTTGATCGTCGACCATTTCTTCGAATGCAATCGCGAGTGCCTCAACTTCGCCATTAAACCTTCGCTCGAAGAAGCGCCGGGGTTCACCCGCCGCCGCCGCAGCAGCTATACCGTTTCTTCGAATCTGCGAAGTTTTGCTAAAGGAATTTGTCTGCTCTGTTGATTTTGAAGAATCGCGGCAGAGAGAGGAGCTCTCGTGCAAAAAAAAAAAAAAAACTGGAAGGGCTCTCTCTGTTGTATAGTGAGGAGAAAGGGATTCTGCAACTGGGATCTCGGTATTTATAGTGTCTGCCAAACAAGACACTTCTGAAGAGTGAACGAAACGGAAGCGGAGGGGCTATTTCGTAATTCGCATTGGATTTACGACTTCGTTTTTATGCGGCGCTGGCGTTCTGCGGGCAGACAGCACCAGATTTTCGTTGGACTGAGTGATTCTGATGAAGGATTTGCTATGACCTATTATCCGCCGGTTGTATGGTAGAGATCATCCGCGACGATCCAAACAGTTACTATGTAACAATTAAGTTTTGTTTTCATTCGATATTGTCCCCAAGCTTCTCCAATCCAATGTCAGCTCAAAGGAAATATGGTAAGCATTAAGACATATGGCACCAACCAAAGCCCCATGCTCAGGATGAAATGTCTGTCTTATTCTTTCAGCTAATTGACAGATTGTTGGGGAAGTGGTCACGAGGAAATTATGGGGTTTTCTACAAGGAGTGATTCCGGCAATCTATATATCATACCATACTAGCCCTGCTCCTCAAAAAACAAAGAGCACAAACTGATCAAAAGAGTTGAGACCGATTAGTTTATGCAAAGTTATCTGCAAAATTCTATCCAGGAATGGCAACAAAACCCGAGTCCACGGGTACCTAACCCGATCCAACTCGATCAATGCGGGTAAAATCCGTGTTTACGAGTTTTGGGCCGGGTTTGGATTTAAACCATTTCACTATTCACCGGGTTGGGTTTAAGTAAACTTGCCCCATGGGTACTTGCCCACACCTATATAATTAATTTTTTTGGTATATTTAATATTCTAAACAACTAATTTTCTTTATGTTTGTGGAGACATGTCTAATTTTTTCTTTCTAATTGTGTGGAATGAACTTGATATTATCCAGTGGAGAGTCAAGAAGTTTAATTGACAAGGAGGAAGAAGTTTTCAATTAATCATGTTGTTTATGGATAATTTGTGATTTGCTTCAATTTTCTTGAGCTTTCTAGATTGGTATTGAACAATTTGTATGGTTAATTTGTGATTTGCTGGAATTTTCTAGAATGGTGTTTTATATATGGATAATTTATATTGAGATTGATATTTGACTTTTATTTTGATAGGAACTTGTTATTGTAAATTTTTTACGACAAAAACCCATGGGTACCCATCAACCCGCAGATGGGTTAGGTTGGGTTTGAGTTTTTCAAACCCAGTGGGTTTTACCCCCGGGTTTTTTTCACGAATAAACCCATGCGTTTGGATTTGAGTTTTGCAAAACCCGACCCATTGTCATCCCTAATCCTATCCAAAGTGTGTGATTGAAAAAAATCTTTGAGACTGTGATCAGTGTCAAGGTGGGTCATTTGCACCATCTTGGCCCAAAAAATATGGAGTAATTATATTTATGCGATTGTTGATTGAATCCAAGATTTCTATATTATTTTATATAATTTTACGAAAACTAATGTTTTGTGATATATATTTAAGTTTTGATTCATATATTTTTGTAAGGGAGTTTAATATAAACAAAAACTCAAAACTTAGGGATATTTATTGGTATCGTTGTCATTCAAGTGTTGAAAGAGCACCTACTGCAATAAGCAAAGTAAAGAAACACTTCTAAGTAAGATGAGTTTTAGATTTTTTTTTAAACATGAGCATATCATGTAACATACGTTATATATATTTTTTCCACGTTTGACCCACCTTAGATGAATTTTTGGCTACGTAGCTGATTGTGATGAGATGACAGACACGCAAAGCGTTACTGTACCAGGCAGAAACATTGCAATAAAAAAAATATATTGTGGTTGCTTTTAAATGCTTCCACGTAATATAAGAATAAGAAGGAAGACAAGAAAGGATTTGTGGAAGCAAAGTTGGATATCTCCAAAGTATAAATAAGGTTGAATGATCTTTCCTAAAGGCAATAGTTGAAGTTGGGATAGTAAGAAAGGTGGGTTAAACTAATTATGCAGTGTGTTACAATAGTAACATACTCAGCATTGGTAAATGGACACTAGACCAGGATTATATAACCTTGAGGTCTGTTTACGAAGTAAGAAACCCTTTTAACATCTCTTCATCTGCAAAGAATTCTCCATGTCAAACACAAAGACAAAGGGTTTATCTTTGAATATGAAAAAGAGTGGATCTACAGGATTCTAAACGGATTGACTTATTCGGAAAAAGCCTTATTATTTGGAAGATCTTCTCACATCTGGTACTGCATGGTTCCACTCTGCAAGAACTCTGAATCATTCTATTGAAGCTATTCCTATTATGTGCTGAAGACATCTTAGCGTTAATGAGGAAGGAAGTAAATGTTGGAAATTTACCGGAGATTCAAATGGGGATTCAAGTGAGTAAGAAGGGTTAATATTTTCGTATGGCCCGAAATTTGACCAAAATAAACATCCTGGCCAATCATTTCGATCTATAGCATCCTGGCCCGAACTATACACCAAAATAAATAATTTGCCAGATCTGACTTTTGACCGTTAACTTGGACGGTCAAACGCGTTGACCGTTAGTCAACGCGCCATGTCACTGCCAAGTCAGCATAAAATATTTAAAATAGTTTACAATTTCCATATATTCCCTAATTTTAAATTATTATAAATTAAAAAAATCATCTAATACCTTAGTTAAACCAAAAATAAAAAACGAAAAAATTAAATATCTATCAGATCTTCTGACTTGGCAGTGACGTGGCAGTGACGTGGCGCGTTGACCGTTAGTCAACGCATTTGACCGTCCAAGTTAACGGTCAAAAGTCAGATCTGGCCAAATTGTTTATTTTGGTGTATAATTCGGACCAGGATGTTATAGATAGAAAAGATTGGTCATAATGTTTATTTTGGTCAAAGTTCATACGAAAATATTAACCCGAGTAAGAATGAGTTGATGATATCTCATCTATTCTTTTTTTTTTTTTTGTCATAGATAGTTTGTAATAGATAGAGTCTTACAATGCAGAGAAAATATAAAGGCGGTAGTCAACCAACTAGGTTGCTACCGATGCAAGGGCCATTTATGCCACGCGATGGGCAGCCCTGTTAGTATGCCTAGTAACATAAAAAAAACCAAAAAACGCAAAGAAAGTCTTCTTTTAGCAAACTCCTTCAAGCACCAATTCGTCGAGTTCCACTAGCCTAGCAGTAGATTTGATGTGCAAGGTACCTGCAAAATAACACGCAGACAACCCCTAACAGGACAAACAAAATTAAAATACAATCGGACTTCCACCGAAAATGCTACACAAGCTATACAGACTATGCCTTCTGCAACACAAAAACAAATATGACAAAGCCAACTAGTAGAAGAAATATACCCCATGTCCGACGACAACCAAATACTCACTATCATTAAAAGACACCGAATTACAAAACAATTGCAACTCCCATCAAAAATACCAAACACGATCGTAAACATAATAATAATTAAATATAAATTTAAGAAAGAATTAATAGACTTATCTGAATGCAGGATAGGATCCGTGTTTGAAATTGTGACTGCCTATCCATTAGAATTTTAACCGCCATGAAATTATAACCGTCCGAAGGCCGGAGCGTTTTGAACAAGAATGAAGCCAAGGGAGAGGTAACTGTACAAAGATGTAACTGCATCCCACTAGCCTGGCCGATTGTCGGCAAGGCTCGTCTTCCGCCGGAAAGACTCACCGAAGATCCCAGCCAACAACTCCTGCAAAAAATAGGCAAAACTCACCGGAAAGGGTGTCAAAGATGGGGAAACACCATGAGCGGCTACGCACAAGGGCGTTGGGCAGCAACTTGCTGGAGCGCACAGTTGCGGAGAAAAGTAAAAATCAAAATCCGTCGAACTCGACCCTTCTATCGGAAATCATCGTGAGTGCGTTACACGGGATTATCGAGGATAATTATATAAGAAATTAAATAAATAATAGTAATAATAAAAAAGGAGAGAGCACTTGTCCAACGTAACCGCCACGTCCGGAATTGTAACCGCCAACGCCAAGGGCGACTTCGTCGTCTCCCGTCGTCATCCAGCCCTCCTCCTAGCGCCGTCGTCCTCATCGCTGTCCTCGTTCGTGGTAGGCGTCGGATCTCCCTTTGTTGGTCGCCAGAGCAAAGGATGGGACGGGAGATGATACTCGATGTTGATCTCCCCTTCTTCCTTCACAAAACGTTTCCACATCCTCCTTCTTCCTCACCAAACTATACGTAGTGCCACGCCGCATAGCAACCTCGGCGCAGATCTTTCTCTCGCCTTTCTTCCAGATCTACGTCATGGCGTCGGAAGTTGGGGAAGGAAAGATTGATTGATTGTTCAAAAAATGTATATCTCATCTATTCTTTGTTGGCGATAATATTTTTTTTCCCCTTCCTTTTTGAATAAGAAACATGAAAGAGGGACTATGGAGCGGATAATGACAACATATGAAGAGGGGAATAGGCTTCAGTGGGCCCTAACCCTTTGCTAATTTTGAGAGGCTAGCTAGTAGCTGCTCGTATTGGCAAAAATTGCCTAACTTGCGTTGGAATAATCGATTTACCCTACTAGTTTAACGGTAGGGGTGGGAATCCAGTTCCAATTTTCCGGTCAAATTGGAATCCGGACAATTAAAACCGGCCTGGTTGCAATCGGAAACTGAATTATCATCAACCCAATCCAATTTTCGATTGTAGTGCACACCACCCCGGTCCAATCCGGTTAAAACCGGAAAAATCGGATAGCCCAAACCAAACCCATACTCGCCCCAAACCAAGCCCACACCAGCCCAAAATCAAGCCCAAAGCAATTGACAGCCAACCCCAAGGCCGCCAAGCCCAACCTTAATTCTATCCCCTCCCATTCTCCGCAAATCAACCCCAGTCCCGAGCCAAGCCTCAAATCAACGCCGCCTCTCCTCCTCATTCTCTCCCCTCTCCCATTCTCCTCTGCAACACAAACACGAAATAGAAAAAGAAGAAGAAGAAGAAACCCCATCCCATCGCAAATCGCCTCTCTACATCCCAGTTAGGTGACTCCCGTTGGCCGACAGTGAATCGCGCCACTCGTAAGAGGCATGCAGAGGTCTCTCGGCCTCCACCTCCGTACCGCCGCCCGTTCAGATCTCCCACGTTGTTCGTCGCCCACCAACCATCAAGAATCGTTCATCAAGAGTTGTCGTCGTGAAGAAGTGAGAGGAGGAGAAGGAGATATGAGATTGAGAAGGAATCGAGATTGGGGAAAGAGATAGATAGGGATTGAGATTTGGGAGAGAGATGCGAGATTTGGGAAAGCGATAGATAGGATTTGAGTTTTGGGAGCGAGTTGTGAGGTCGTCGATTTTTTTTTCTCAGGTCAGTTTAAACGTTGTCGTTTTTTAGTTTATTTGAGTGTTCCGGTTTTCCGGTTAAAACCGTATTGCATACAATCCGGTTTAGTTAAAACCGTGCACCAATCCAATCCTATCTTCGGTCGTGTATATGTCCAATCCGGTTTCAAAAAATCGGGTCAATTCGGTCCGGTTTTAACCAAACCAGACCGTTTCCCACCCCTATTTACCGGGGCACTAATTAATGAAATAGTGGGTACTAATTTGCCTAGTTTGCGTTGGAACGAATAACCCAAACACAAACAGAACTAGTAGTTCCCCGGGGCAATTTTGTCACAATAATTAATGTACCCTACGCATGAATATTCTCTTAGCTTGCTCGCCATTTGTGTTTCTCTTCTTCTCCTTACTAGATAAACAAATGACAGATCCATCTTGGGGGGATGAATAATGAAAAAATTTAGTGATGAATACGTAATTGATGAGTGATGAGAAGTGGTTAGATACTGCTGCGCTAGTAGTCCCCTCCTGAATCCTGATCATAGAACAGCTACCTGCAAAATGGTAAGCATATCAGTCAGACAGTCACCGATTCGATTCTTCCAGGCCAACGTTAGTCTAATGGCACCAGTAGTCTGTTATGCTTACCAAAAGCCATGACTAACCCTTCTGCAAGTAAACAAAGAAATGATTGCTTCTTCCGGGCCAACGTTAGTCTAATGGCACCTTACCACGTATTCTGAGAACTCGTGCAGGTCGCAGCACTGATGTTCACCTTGGCAACTGGGAACGCAGAGACCAGCGCGAACCAAACGACACAGAAATAAGACTATCAAATGTCTGAATTCAGAAGGCTAACCAGGAAATGATCTGCCCTCCAAGAAAGCATTTCCTGCAACTTAGGAAATGAGAAGATCCCTAAAGGCCAATGTCATTCGCTAGAAGATCTGCTGTCAACATGATCAGAACAGGAAATGCAAGCATCAACTTTAAGCCATTTCCCTTATATAGCTTCAGCTGCCTGACTTCCACCATTGCCAGAAACCCTCACAATTCAACAGCTCACCATACGAAACAAGCCGGAAACTGGAGTATCTCTCTAGGAGTGAACAATATCATTAATCTCCACAACTGTAGCTGCCAAAGTACAACTCCAGGGCACTGACATTTAAGCACAGCTTTTGTTCAACCGCAATCCTCGAGAGACACCTTTGTAAAAAATGTCAGTAGCGAACTAGCAGTTGCAGTTCTCTACAATCAGAAATTTCTAAATGGAAACAACCACTCTTCTTCAATTCTCACTCACCAGCTTAGTCTGGATTCGGCTTGACATATTACCGAAAGCCATGAGTCTTCTGGCTTTTTATCTCACAAACACAATGCCAACTGAATCACCAAGCAACCATTGTTGCCAAAATCTTTGCCACATTCCTCTTCCTCGATCTCTTGGAGACAGTCAAAATTATATGGCGGAGATCCAAAATCTTCTGCAGCAGAGTACACTAGTTCTTCAATCACTGTAATCAACTCCAACATGATTAGCCTGGTGTATTGAAGAATGAACAATTCACCAAATCTACCATTGAATGCCGCAGCCAGCGTCACCAATTCAATGCTTCTAATTTCATATCGAAACAGGCAAATCAAATTAGCAATTCTGCAATGTTTGAAGCTCTTTGTGTGTTACTTTGGAACCCATTGGCATACAGAAGTCACTCACCTCCACAAAGAACACATTGCTATGTATAGCTTACAGAGAGATACCAAAAGAGAAGAATACAACAAATTGCAGACCTAAAAAAGACAGTAAGACTCTCTAATTTACCGGAATCAGAACCGTACTCAGAATTCAGAATCGGCCGTATCCACCACCACCACCACCACCGCCATCTCCGCCGCCGCGCTCCTTCTCAATCTGCTGCCGCTGCTTCTCGGCGAGCTTCTCCAAGGCCGATTCCACGGCGTCGCGGCCATTGATTAGCAGCCGCGTCACGATCTCGGGATCCTTCTCGAACCGAGCCGCCTCGAATTCCTTCCTCGCGTTTTCTCTCAGGATATCCCTCCACGGCACGCCGCGAGCGTCCGGCCACGCGAAGAATCGCGTGGCTCTCAGGATGTCCCTGTACAGGTGCAGCGCCTCCCGGCGCGTGCTGGTGAGCCTCCGCCGGTTCAGGAGCTCTTCCTCCTCGTCGTCGAGGATTGACGACTTCTTCTGCTTCTTCTCCGCCGTGTGCCGCTCGAAGAGCTCCTCCACGGTGTCAGGGCCTTCGTGCAGAAGGCGCAGGTTGAGAAACGGGGCGGTACGAGATGAGCGGTTCATTGAGATGGCTAGATCCCGCCATCGCTGGAGCTTCATCGTCGTCATTCGTCGACACTTTCCTCTTGGTGGCGAAACGAGACGGTGGGGGAATATCGAATTCCACGGAATAAAGTTGGGGCATTTACTATTAAAATGGGCCTTCCTCCTGGGCTCTTATTCTGTTGTTCTTATTACCTCCAAAAATAGCCCACTTAGAAGCCCAAAGTCGTCCAAAATGGCAAACGGCAGTTAAATGAGTTAATACTTAATATCTTATTTTGGCTCGAAATCTCGAACTATGACCATATAATCAACTTTGTGTCGTGATTTCAGAAATTAACATATGGGTCTCAATTATACAACATATAGACTCAATTGGCCCGACACATACTTTGACTGTCAATTTGGACGGTCAACATCGTTAACCGTTAATCAACACACCATGTCATTGCCTCGTCAACATAAAAATCATTTAAAACATTCAAATTCAAATTATTTTCCTAATTTCTATTATTTATCATTATCAAATTAACCAAATTATAAAAAATATATAATAATTTTTTATTTATTTTTTGGTTAATTCGAAAATGATAAATTTTATAAATTAACAAAAAATTATCAAATTGTTTTTAAAATTTAAAATTTTATTTTTTGGTTAATTTGAAAATGATAAATATAGAAATTAGAAAAATAATTTGAATTTGATTTTGATTTTTTTAATAATTTTTAGGGTGACGAGGCAATGACATGGCGTGTTAACTAACGGTCAACAATTTTGACTGTCTAAATTGACGGTCAAATCATGTGTCAGGCCAACTGAGTCTATATGCTGCATAATTGAGGACATGATGTTAATTTCTGAAACCACGAATCAAAGTTGATTATATGATCATAGTTCGGGCCAAAATACGGTATTACCCCTAATAAAATCATAAATGTATGTGAATTTTGATTGAATCTAATTGGCGCCTTTTGTAACTTTCACCCTTACTTTGAAGGTGGGCTATGAGTAGGGATGGCAATGGGTAGGGTCGGGTGCGGGTTTATCCTATACCAACTCCTAACCCGCCGGGTAGAGCGTTCTAAAATATCCGACCAAATAACCACCGGGTATGAAAATTATATAATCATACCCTACCCACCGGGTAACCACGGGTATTCGGGTAACCATGGGTACGAATCCTAAACTATGAACTTATACACATATATGCACATACATACTGTTGTCCATTAAAAATTCTCAATACTTCTAACTGTTCTAGCTTCAACAATCCACACAAATAAAAACATTAAAAACATAATAATTGTTCTTGCTTCTACAATCCACACAAACATAATAATCGTCTACATCTTCATCATCAATAATGGTAGCTAAACTAAATTTCTCAAGTTAAACTAAATTTCTCAAGGGAAATTGACCCTTTGGTTAGCGGGGCGGGTATAACGGGGCGGGTATTCTCAATTACCATACTCGTACCCTACCCTTTATTTTGAAACCGGGTATTACCCGTACCCGCCCCTTAACCTGTCAAAGCGGGTAATTACCCTCGTTGACCGTTACGGTCGGGTAGGGTACCCATGGTTACGGGTTGGATTGACATCCCTAGCTATGAGTCTATGACTGTGGGAAAAAGAATGTGGAATATGAAGTATGAAATCATGTGGAACTAGTACCGATCCACCGAATCATTAAAATTTAGAATAAAGATGAAATTTGGTGTTATTAGTGGATACTAATTATTTTTTATAATAGTGATATAGATTTTCTGTTATGTTTTATAGGTATTATTTAAGGAATTTTCAACTTGGGATCTCCAAATACAAAATTAGTAATATTATCACTAGAGTAATTCTTTTGTTCATATTTCATTCACGTAACTAAACATGATACACGTACAGGCAAAAGTACGAGCAACAAAAAATATTTTAAATTATCGGTGAAAATATAACTTATGCATCATTCTTGTCATAATTAATTGTTAATTATTGCCTATAATATCTAGTTATAACTTGATTCATAATTTAATCTAAGATATTAAGTAGGGATCAATTTGGCTAGGCTTTTGTAGATTCTCTTTTGATTTCTTTAAGCAACCCATTAACTCATGTGATACTAAGTTAATCAAAGCACTCACTTATGATCAAATGAACCATAAAATATGATAACACAAAATATTGGTAATTTGATCTTGTACGATAAACTAGTCTAAGTAACTCAATCACAACTCTTGGTTCTAACTTCTAACAAAACTCATCCATAAATTAAAAAAAAAAAAATCTTGATATTAGTAGAATGTAGATACTAGATAGAATAGTACAACTTCCATAACGTTATCAAGAAATAAGGACTACACTACAGAGCTTACAATTTACCTAACGGAAAAAGTATTCACGGCTAGAAAAATTCGAAAGAAAGACCAGGGACTTGATCGTTCCAGTCCTAAAAAGAAGAACATAATATGCAAACAAAGCCTTAACTCGCAGCCCAACTGAGGCTCGGCTACTCTAAAGAATCCCAGCGATGGAAAGAATGAAGGAGAGAACGCTGAGACACGCCACCGCTGCATAGTCTTGGTCGTCATCGCCGGCAGCACGCCGTTCTTGTTCTTGAGACACTTCTTCTTTCCAGTAGACCCTGGCGCCATTCCTGAAGATGGGTTCTTTCACTTTAACGTACCGCCGCCGATTCAAGCTCGCCGGATGCGGCGGCAGGACGTCCTTTAGAGCCACCAGCTTAGGAGCGCCGTCGACCTCGTTCATTGTTGGTGGGGATGTGGAACTCTTCCGCAACAATGAAATTACCGGCGAGACGAGAGAGAGAGAGAGAGAGAGGATGCCGCAGGCGGGAACTTGCCTTGAGTTGGTTTTTTGGTAAGTGTTATAGTGAGTGGAGAATGGAATTGGCATGTTTATGTTTATATAGCTACTTTCGTTCATGTTCCAGAAAAGGAAAGGAACTCATTATTAGTCTCCTCCCGATTAGGATTCGGAAACCGGTTTTCCAACTAGGATTCGGACTTCCACAATTCCTAGATATATACATTTTTTCCAACTAGCGAATTTGCCATTTGTATCCAAAACTTCAATATTTACAATAATAATTCAACTTATGGACCGTCAACATCATTTGTGTTACGCAATTTTCAGTGGATTATTAGAAGTCACGGTTGACCTAGCGTTGATTCCATGTAGGAAATTCATATTTAAAATTTTAAATAATGATTAATTTAATAATTGAAATATTTGGTTGTTTTATCCTACCCTGGCCTCAATTTTTTATACGGTCGTCGGGCTTTCCTCCTCTCCGCTCCGTCCTTCATCTTTCTCCTCTTCCAGCTTGAAACAATGACTGAGGCGGCAACAATGTTTTGGAAGGCGGCGGTGCTGGGGATTTGGAAGGCGCCGACGGCCGGGCTTTACAAGAAGTGACCCATGAAAACAGTGAAGTCGTCGTAAAAGGAAAGACGAACGACGGCTCTCGACAGGTGGAAATAGTGGTTGGTGGATTACTCGATTTGACTCCGCTCCTCTGTTTCCTGGTAACCTTCTTTTTTGTTCGATTTGGAGTTGAAAATCAGCTAGGTTGGCTTCTGTTGTGTATGTGTTAGTAGAATTATTGATGGTCGTTATTTTTGTGTTGTTGTTGGTTGAAGTGATGAAGATGTTATTGTTGTTGTTCACAGTGTAGCAAGTTTTTTTTTTATAATGATGAAATATTTTATTAATTTACGAAAATAAGGAGAGAAGATTAATCACATGTAGCAAGTTATTGTTGATGAATATGAGTGTTGTTTTTATTATAGACCAAAATCTGGCATGATGTTTATGCAATATGGTGTGCATTTGGAGAAGTCCATTCAACCACCAATGTTGGTGCCACGTAGGAAATTCATATTTAAAATTTTAAATAATAATTAATTTAATAACTGAAAGATATTTGGTTGTTTCATCCTACCCAGACCTCTATTTTTTACGGCCATTAGGCTTTCCCCCTCCTCGCTCTGTTCTTCATCTTTCTCCTCTTCTGGCTTGAAACAACGACTGAGGCGGCAACAAAGCTTTGGAAGGCGGCGGTGTTGGGGATTTGGTAAGCGCGGACAGTCAAGCTTTGCAAGAAGTGACCCATAACAATAGTGAAGTCGTCGTAAAAGGAAAGACGAGCGATGGCTCTCGACTGGTGGAAATAGTGGTTGGTGAATTAGTCGATTCGGCTGTGTTCCTCTGTTTCCTGGTAACCTTCCTTGTTGTTCGATTTGGAGTTGAATGAATCATTTCCATTGTTTTGTGTCAAAATTGCAGTTCAAGCAAAACCTATTTTAGGTTCATGTGTTTTGTAGAAAGTTTACCATGTTTGGAAGAAAAGGTAACCACAACAAAGCCGAATCCAGTTCTGCCAACTCACATGTTGTGAAGTGCAAACACAAGATACCCTCTATTGTGTATGTATATGGGACACCCAATAACCCGGGGAGAGAGTTTTATTGATGCCCGTATTGGAAGGATGATGCCATCAATTGTAATTATTTTCTGTGGGTTGACACCCCAACAACTGTGAAAGATTATTCAGAGTTGAAGCTCGTTTCCATGAACTTCGGAGCACAAATGTTAGAAGAAAGGCTAAAAGTTAAAGAAGCTAAGACATAACAGATGAAGAGGGGGAAAAATGATCTGTCTAGATTTGGCCAAGATCATATGTGAAAATGCTAGGTTGAGTACTGTATGTGTTAGTAGGATTACTTATGTGTGTTGTTTGTTGTTGTTGGTTGAAGTGATGAAGATGTTATCGTTGTTGTTCAAAGTGTAGCAAGCTATTGTTGATGAATATGAGTGTTATTGTTATTATACACGAAAATTTGGCGTGATGTTTATAAAATATGGTGTGCCTCCGTCCAATCATCATGGTTGAAAATCAGCTCTACAAGATTATAAGTCATCCTGAAATAAACAACATTAATAAATGCTTTACCACAATAAACAAAAATTAAACTGTTCATTTCCCAACCAAACTGTCCACATAAACAAATAAACAAAGCCAACACAACAACACCACAGTCATCTCGAAAATTCAATAAAATTGATGAAAAAGCTAGCTAAAGGAAGCGATACTAACCTGCTTTTCACCAGACAACATGGCTAAATTTGTCTTCACAATGAAAATCATGGTCCAAGCTTTTGGTGGGAATCTTCAATTGTGCACCCACTATTCCTCGCCTCCAATAATTTATGTAGCCTACTTAGCCATCAATTGCTTCCCAACCACCAGATTTTGCCACAAAGAGCCCGATGAAGACAATAGCTTCTAATGCCCAAAAAAACCTTTTAAAAATTTAGCCACAACCACTTCTTCACAATCGCCTTTTGTGCTTCCAAAAGGTAAAGATTCATACCTATGTTTGAATCCTACTTCCTTGCTTCGATATTACTTCTAGTCCCTTGGTTCGAAGTTCTTCGTCTACTAACTGTGGCAGAAGATGAAGAGTGGGAAATTCATTCTCTGATCTAATTCGATCATTCCGCTTCTTCGATTTCACTTCCGCAGACTATTTGAAGCCTCAGACTCCACTCATGCGTAGGCTGATTTCATCAACTAGATCAATTTTGGAGGAATTTTTTTAGAGTTCGTCTTCTGTTCGACTTTGATAGCAACTAAGAGGAAAGATGAGGTTGACATGAAAATATCAAAATAAGTGTTTGACCCCCTCTTTTTTCTACATTTGTTTTTATCTTTATCTTTTTCGTTTTGTTAATGTAGAAATTGGATAGGTCGGTTAAAATTTCCATGTTAGCAGGCCAGCTAGGCGCTAACTAGGCATTGACTAGTCTCGTAGTTAAATTTAACGGTCCAACTAACGGAAAAAAACAATTTGGTATACAGATATATCGATAGTTGTGTAATACAAATGGGCAAATGGCAAAGTTGCTAATGGTTGGTTTTTTTAGTGACATTAGTCCAATGAAATATAACATTCAACATCAACAGGGACTGTTTTACAGCACATGATCACATGAATCAGAATGAAATTTGCGATTCTTAAGTAGTCCTAATCCCGATTACAAAAACATACAAACAATTTTATGACATGGATTATTTAACTCTGTTAATGAATTCATAAACCTTCGTCTTCTTCCATTAATATGCCATGCCACAGTTAAGTTTTGAACCCACTCCGTCAATGAAGAAGAACCAAGTGTACTGCTGCTGATGCTAATCATCGGCCCTGCATATCAAGGGTCTCATCTAAACGTTTCAGCCTCTCTAACCCGTCGCTCATTAGAAACCGAATTGTTTGCCTGTCGTTGCAGTTCCGGTTGTTCTCCATTTCCTGCCTAATTGTTTGCTTCAGTTCATCTGCAATACGCCATCATTGTCTCAGAGATGAAGCAGAATTTACTGGATCTGTAAGCTTTCTACTTAGTTCACAGACACAATTCAGAAACTCACAAACTTATAGATGAAGACTGCATAACCAGATTTTTGTGTAGATACAGGATACTAGATACTATCAGAAACTCAGAGAGAGAGAGAGCAAATAATGAAAGTTGATTATCAATTCCTGATCCCATTTTCAGAAACTCAGAAATATCTAAACCTTAAAGCTAAAGAGAAACTAAACAATAGCTAGTGCAGAAAGTTAATATCAAATGCTGCTTCCATAATGTAGAAAGGTTAAAACTCTCTCAGACACTAGAAGCTTGCTACTTGCGAGACACTTGTTTCAATTCGGATAAGTTTTCATCCCCCTGATGAAAACCAGAACATAACTTTCTAAAGAACAGATGGAGCCAGAAGAGTATAATCCATTCTGCCAAAAAGTGGTCTCGAGTGGCATATCAAACTACAGGGGAAAATCAAGCCAAAGTGCACTCTCCGCCACATTATCTCGCAAAACCACTCAACATAAACTCAAGAAAGCTTAATTCCCTTTGGCTCTATGCTACATATAGTTGTAATCTAAGTCCTAAACTTCATCAATTGAGCCCTAATTTCAAAAACTTTGACTATCCCTCTGAAAAAGTGTTTGGGCCGGATTCACAGAAGAACTGAGAACCTAGAACCTTCAATGAAAGAACTTCAACAAATCTTAAGATTCAGATTTGATGGCAAATCCAACAATAGCAAACTAAAACTCATATAACTTGTTTATACCTTTAGCACCATCAGGTGCTCTACGAACCACCCGGAGAGCCTGCCTGTACAGCTTCAGCACCTTAGCTCGAACAATGAAATCCTGCAGATCCAAGGCTCGAGCCATGCCCAATTCCTCTCCTCAAAAAGAAGCCTCCATAAAGTGAGAAACTTAAATCCAGCTCTACAAAGGATTTGTACAATGAAAGAATTGAGAAAGCTGGAGGCCGATACATTATTCAAATGCCTAGATTCCGTATTCAGATGAATTAGACAGCGAGCTCATTTGCTTGATTCAGTGCTCTTCAATGAGCTAGACGAAATCGTATAGGTGAGAGGAATCGCAGCAAATGAACGTACCTTGAAGTAGAGAAAGGGATGGGGAAGAGGAATCGTGACCGCCGGAAGTAGGGTTGTCTTCAATTGGAGCAGCTGGTGAAGGGGGGAGAAGGAACCGACGGTGGCTGGCTCCGGCGAGTTGCTTGGTAATATGCCAAATTGCCAAAGAATAGAGTGGAAAGTGGGGAAGGGGCAAAAGGTAGTAAAAGTGTAAAACAAACGGATGAAAAAAGTGCCCATGCGGTGCCGATTTGAGACGCCAAGTCTTGTCAGGCCGAATAGGTGAGCCTGCTCAATTGGGCTTCGGCAATTGAACTACGTGCAAGCTGTGAGCCCGGCCCGTTGGCCGGGTTGATTTCAACTAATTTGTAATAGTTGTATCCTACTTGGTTTGCGGGACCTTTGGCAGCAGTGGGAGAAGAGGACTTTTGCTGGTTTCATTCGCAACTCCCTTGGTCAATCTAATGGTGGGGATGCAGATTATATCATTCTGCAGGTAATATGTTTGCTTTGGAGGTTGTGGAAGAATCGGTGTATGGTAGTGTTTCGGGGGGAAACAACTTCGACTAGATGTACTGGCTAATTAATGGCTATTCCAGGTGAAGGGGAATGAGCAAGCAATGTTAATTTCGCCAGCTATTCCTTAGCGGTTGCCTACTCAAACTCAGTCCACTATGGCTGGTATTCATGGATGCTCTGCATCCTTTGATGCTGCAACTTCGCGGGCTGGTTTTGGCACCACAAGTTATGTCTTTTTTTGTTTTATGTTTCAGGTATGCTCATTGGTGTGAATGCTCGTAGATATGAAGCTATCTTTGATCCGTACGTCTTGGAAGCCTTGGCTTTGCGGGATTGTCTTGTTGATTGTCACTCCTGAGTGCTGCAGAGTTCGGTTTGCATTGGTGGTGACGCAAAACTCATTATCGACAAGGCTTCAGCAAGGGATTCTGTAGACAGCAAGATTTGGTTCAATCCTGAAGGAAATTATTGCACTCTTGGCCGCGATGAATTCATCTCGGGTTCAGTTCATTGGTAGAGTTCAAAACAGAGCGGCTCATTGTGTGGCCCGTCATGCTCTGTCTTTGTCGCCTCCCTTGTTAAGGAGGATCGACTTCTGTTCATGGTTTCGTAGTAGGGACATTTGATATACTCTGTGTCTTTGTATCTGGATCCTTTCCTCTTTTGTAGAGTGATCTATTGAAAAAAAAAGTTGTATCCTACTTTGATTAAGACAAACAAGCGACTTCATTAGTATTGCCAATAGCTGAAAGTTGTGGCGAGGTTTGATGGGGAAGAAGAACAAAAACTCTTTATTGACCCTACGTCCTGCGAACAATTCATATTCATTGTTTACTCTTTTCCTCTAAATATACAATTTAAAAAAAACCAACCTTCTTGATTAGGGGAAAAAAAAATTGTTGAATAATTTTTCCTTTTTGGGTCCTGTGCTGTGGGATGCCCTTTAAGTTTTTTTTTTTAACATAGTCAAAGAGTACAGATAAATACATAGTCAGAGAACGGACAACAACCACGGGCGAAAGTCAACTAATAGTCGAACTTCTAATGAAAAGGTCAATTTCATCACAAGATGGGCATCCCTGTTGAAACTCCGTGGAGTATAATGGCAAGAGCATAAGTCAAAACTCTTGGCCAGAAGCAAAACATCCTCGAGAATAGCTCCGCCTCGATCATGATCGTGATCCCCCGTCAGCACCATTAATTGTGAATCACCATAGAATTTTGTCAAAGCAAAAGACTTAGTTAAGCACCATTTCATTGCATCTTGTAGAGCAATAAGTTCGATAAGAAAAGGATCCGACATTTCTATCATAATACCTTCCAAATGCAAAGCTTGTTGTCCCTGCAGCATCGAATTCTATGAAGCCGATGCTACCCCCAACACCTCGCTTCAGATCACCATCAAATTACTAGCACCGCCTCTGTCGCCTGTCGGGCATGGGACATCAATACCCAAAGTGGAAATCAATATGCCGAAATGTGGAGCTGGGCCGTTTCTCGTATTCACTTCCACAGCCTGAAATGTTCCTGTCCGTGCGTGCGAAGCCTTTTGCCATTCAGTTACCTGCAAGGAAATTGATGAAACAAAGTTGGTGGCAAGTATGTACGCCTTTTGAGTTTGGTTGTTCATGTTTTCAAAAGGTATTATTATTGTGTTGAGAATGATGAGAAATTTATTAGATTTTTTTTTTTATGAATTAGTTTAGTTGATGGTGAAGAAAAAAGTGAATTTAATATATTCATAAAAACTTGTATTGAAGTTATTGGTTCCAACTGCAAGTGTTTGAAAGAGAATTTTAGCTTCAAGCCATATCAAGATCAAGCTTCAAAATCCAGCAGACATTTTTTAGTAGAATATATTTAAAAAGATTTGTTGAATGTAGTAGACATTACGGTATTTTATAATCATAAAAATTTAGAGCATGAAAATGGTTGTTATAAATTGTACCATTAGATATTTTTTTAAGAATCATATATTATTTTTTTATTATTAATTTATTTAATTTTAAAAGAACACCCTTAAATCGCACTAACTTAGCCCGTCAAAATTGTAATAATGGGCTCATTATAGATTTGTTTGAACCCTTCAACTTTTCCAACCTGATGTATGACTTTAGAACCTTAGTTAACCAAATTGTGATGATGGGCCTATGATTATTTCTTGGAAGTTTTCCAACTTTCCATTTCGGCGTATGGTTATGCTATGAATCATCTGAATATCACACAAACGATTAATATTATTTTAATTCGTATTGAACTCGAAAGAAACCATGGAAAGTGCAACCCCAATTTAACCAATTCACATGAGAAACCCAAAACAATATTTAATTAAGAGAGGTTGGCTTAATATTATGGACATACAATCTACCAACTGATGTTGGCTACATCACTATTTTTTTTTTTTTATAAACACGTTATATAGATTTGTTTAATTTTTACAATTAAGTATCACTTAATGAATTCGAATATAAGACCTCCAAATTCAAAATCAAAACCAGTAGTCATAATGTTCTTGGTCACGGCTAGACAGCTAGTTCTCGCTTGGTTCCTCCAACCAACCACCCATCCACGTAATTTTGACAACCGGACCAAAGTAGTCGACCCTAACAAATATTAGGCAATTGTGAACCATGTGCGCCTATTAGTTTCTTTTAATATAAAGGTTAGAAGTTAGAACAGACACTTCCTAACTCCTACCACCTGGTTGACCATCCGCAAACTCGATCTCTCTTCCGATCCGAGGTCCGTTTTACCTTAAAAATGCAGCATCTCATCACAAACACTAAAGACCTGCTTATATATTCGAAACACAGGGCTCCCGGTGTTAATAAATTACCAGCAGCCAAACACAAGCTAGCGTAGATGGAGAAGCAAGCAGCAAGCCGAAGAAGAAGAAGAAGAACAACAGCATCTTCAAGTTCCTCGAGATCATCTGCTGCACTCAAATTCCAATTTCGGAAGTCCATGCCATTATTGATACGTCAAAGTTTAATCAGACAACAATCCTGATCATGGCGATCGACGAGCCGCCTTCTCCAAAGATGATTGTGAAAATTGTTCATGTATACGATTTTCTTGCAACACAAGCAAACACATAAGATTAAGAAAACATGCAAAGACACATACAAACGTCCTAACCGACATAATTCAATGTCTCTCCTTAAGAAATCTTATTCCCCTTGAAAAACAATGCAGAAAAAATCGCTTTAGATTTTGGGAGAGTTTTGGTATGAGAAAAACGTATGTAAAAACCAGAGGGGTTAAATGCTATTTATAGAAAATGAAGGGGTACGTACGAAGGGAGGCAACTCTTCGTATGGGTGGTTACACCCCAACCATTGCAATGGTTCATTTAAAATATTTCAACCATTGCATCAGTTCGGCCCATGGAAGTTGGACCGGTTTGGTTATTCCAATCGTCATATCGGTTCGACTTGGTTCAACTCGATTTGGTTTGGTCCGATTGGTTACACAAACCAATTTAACCGATTACTAACATATTACATCAAATCGATCGAATTCGAGGCCGTGCCTTCCCACATTTACCAACATGGTACTTCAAGAGATTCTCTTAGATCTTTCCCTTTTATTTCCATTCACACCATTAAAAATCCCAACAAAGATCTCTTGTACTGGCCACATCAAACCTTAATGGATTGTGTGACGTACCTTATTACTTGGAGTATAATTCAAAGACTGAGTACCTAAATCCATTTGTGTAAATTAATCCTGAAGTTTAATTTTACATGTCTTCGATGATCCCTAACAATGTGACCTTTGCCTCCCTTCTAAAAGAAACGAAATTTGTTTCCCTCTCCACCATCATCTAACTTAACAACTTGACGCACCATTCCTCCCTCGGGCTCTTCCACATAGAGGTGGCAAATGGATTGGATTGGTGGATTGGTGGATTGGATTGGTGGATCCATGGATCAAATGGATTGGATTTAATGGATTGGTGGATTCATGGATTGGATCAAGTGGATTGGTGGATTATCCATAAATCCAAATGACATCCTCAACCAAGGACCAATATGTAAAATGTAAAAAGTTTAGGTACTAAAATGTCACAATGAAAAATTTTAGGTACCAAAACGTAATTTTCCAATGATATTTTTCGTATAAAAAATAAAATTTTAGGTACCAAAATGTAAAAAATAAAAATTATAGGTACTAAACTGTAATTTGCCAATGATCCATGGATCCAATCCATGAATCCACCAATCCAATTGGATTTGGATCAAATGGATTGGATTTAAATGGATTGGATTAGGTGGATATTTAATGGATTGATGGATTGGATTGGTGGATTGGATTGAAATTGCCACCTCTACTTCCACAGGATGGTTACCAATTGCTTTGAGTTTAAAATTTCATCAATCCCATCAATTTTGTTGTATCTAACCAAAACTTGTCCTAATATGTCTTTTTCATTCATTTCGACAAACCAGAAAAAGGTGTGCTCTTTAGTGATGACAATTTCGACCTGATCCATTTTACACGACTTATTTGGCCTGTTTTGGGGCGGAGCTGGCATGGATACGCTCATCGACCCGACCTACCCTGATCCGCCTCATTCTCGACCTGTTCTTGCCTACATTACATGTAATCTTAGTCAAATTACTTAGAAATTTTCTTTTATTACATCATATTTTAGCTATAATAAAGTTGTAAATTAGTGAAAATCTC